AATCACTGGGAAGAAGTCACAAAGAGACAAATTTCACTTCCATAAGAGAAGTTTTTAACACAGGGAGTAACCGGTGACAGGCATCACATCTGTTTTCTAAGGTGGAGGGGCTGGAGCAACAGCACCAAATGGGGTCTTGGCCATCCTGCCAGGATGAGCGGAAAAGGGGAGATGAAAACCCAAAGTATACACATCCCTGGAGAGGGGGCAAGTAAAGGCAAGACAGAGGATGGGCTCACAGAAAGAGGCAGTGAGGAGCCATCAACTAGAAAGGCAAGCACAGATGTTACGAAAAGTGGCCGTTAAGTACCGGGCACCTGAACTCGAAGCCATTGGGTATCAGGAGACAAGTCCCTGAGAGCTCAAGGAAGTGTGCCAGACAACTCAGAGCTCTCTGCACGGGGTTTCCCACAAGTGCACCAGGTTATGCCTGATGGGCTGCTGAAAGCACCACATGGCACCCAACAACAGATCTGGGGATGTCACCCTTATAATTACAATATTAACAAACATCTGCAATAAACTGTCAATGATTTCAGAATCAAGGGCAAAATCCACAGTCTAGAATGCAGACAGGCCCATCACACTGCTTGGTGCTTTCCTTCAATACGTCTATTTTTCTTACTTTATTGCCGAAAGATCTATTCCCCTGCATCTGAAAATTAAAGTCCTACCCATCTATCAAAGTGCAGTGCAATGGCAACTGTTTCTAAAAATCCCTGTAGCTCTCCAGCCAGTTAATTTACTTCCTCCACCCTCTACCACAACTAAGGACTTAGACTGTGCTTCTGATCACAGCGTGGTGACTAAGGTGTAATTTATGACAGAACACCTTAGTTTAAAAGCTGCATCTGTGTGCATCTCCCAAACTTGGTTCAGAGGCACCGTATGGGATCCAGCATCTTCTTATCTTCTAAAATCACGTCACCTGCAACAGTCACCCATAAACATTTTGTTCAACTGGGAAAAAGAATAAGGAGATCCGAACAAAAGAAAGGGACTTAAATGATGAGCTCTAATTTCCTTGTAAACCTGAAATCCTGTGAGACACTCTCCCCCTGTGAAACCACTGTAAGTGATAACCACAGACCTTCCCATCAGCTGCCAGAATAAGAACCAATGACCAACTATGGCATCAGAACAGAATAATGCTAGGCAGTCCCAAGGTCAAGACTCAGGGCCCTAGAACCATGACGCCAACATCTGAGGCCACAGTCCCTAGCATATGGGACTGACTTACAGAAGGTATTCAATTCATGATGAAGGAAGGAAGAACAAATGAACGAAAGAAGGGGCCACTCCACTGGTCACTCCAAACCTCACAGGTACTGAGGTCAAACAGATCCTGACAGAAAAGAAAAGATAAAGCCCTCATTTGATTTCCAAGATTCATTTTTTTTCCTCAAAAAAAAATTATCAAAGTAAGAATTACTGACACTAAATATTTGCCTTTTGCTAAATAAATAAAATAAAATAAGTACCTAGCAGGTATCGAAAATTCAGGGCACCAAGCAAAACCCCAGCAGTGCCTATAATCCCCTTGTCTGAAACTAAGAGCCTTACAGGCTGGGGGAGGACTAAAGCAAAAGCGTGTGCGATGTGCAAGGCCTTCTGATGGAACCGGAAGGACAAACCAAGAAATCAAGATTCCTCAAACACAGGTATGGATTAGAGGGTGCCCACCTCCTTTGGTCTCAGTTTCCCCATTTGTGAATACAGGGAATTAATTCATTTAGCAAGTCCTCAAAGAGGCTGTAACTCATGGCTAGTGCTGGGGGATGGACTACCTGGTTCCTAAGGTCCCTTTCAGTGCTGAAAATCATATAATTCTTATAGCCAGACTTAGTAGACATTCTTTTGACGCTGACCTGAAAATCTGGCTGGAAACATAAATAGATCTCTACATAAAAACACCCATTTACCAGCTATAATTTGGACTTGGCAACACGAGATTTCACCATGGCTGAGAGGAAAAAGTGCAAAATCTTCTCTGGTGATTATACTACTTTGGGCTTTATTACAGTTCAGATTCCAAAGTGGTTCAAATATGGCCAGGGCAGGGCCAAGTCACTATCACTCTCACACAAGGGAAGGGTGTGCCTGTTTTCTTTTGAACTTGCACAATCTTCCATATATTCAAGAATAACATGCCTCTCCTATCAGATCTGTCCTTTCCCATTTGGCAAACTTGGTTTTATGTTTTTCCTTCCTTGTAGTTTGCAAAAAACATAAGCCAACATGTCAACCAGATTTTTATTTCCTTCCTTTTAAAAAGCAAAGTCATGGGGGCACCTGGGCAGCTCAGTTGCTTACGTGTCTGCCTTTGGCTGAAGTCATGATCCCAGGGTCCTGGGATTGAGTCCTGCATCGGGCTCCTTACATAGTTGGGAGTCAGCTTCTCCCTCTCCCTCTGCCTCCTCCCCCCTGCTCATGCTCTGTCTCTACCTCTCACTCTCTCTGTAAAATAAATAAATAAAATCTTTTTCAAAAATTAAAAAAAATAATAAAAAACAAAGTCATGGTTTTAGTATCGTTATCAGGATGCAGTCCACACAGGAAAAGAATATTTGTAATTTTTATGAAAGCCCATGTTTGAATTTTTCTTAATTAAACCTTTTGGGAAAGCCTTATGATTACTGCTGTTGTTATATTTATATAGTAACAGTTAAAACATCAAAATATCCATACAACCATTATAACTTGGCAATTTCAAATCCATCTGTATTTCATCTAGCTACTAGAGGTAGACAGTTACCTTACTTTTAATTATAAGAAAAATTGGACTTAGTGTGACCTGTTTAAAACCATGTAACTAGAGGGGCACCTGGGTGGTGCAGTCATTTAAATATATAGACATTTGGTTTCTGCTAGATCCTGATCTCAGAGTCATGAGATCAAGCCCCATGTGGGGCTCCGAGCTCAGCACAGAATCTGCTTGAGATTCTCTCTTTCCCTCTCCCTCTGCCCCTGCTCCCTATGTGCTCTCTCTCTCTTGTGCTCTCTCTAAAATAAGTTAAAAAATTTTAAAAACAAAACAAAACAAAAAAACCCCACATAACTAGATTACGTTGTTAAACTAGCAATCAAACCCAAGTCTTCTGTCACGAGGTCAAACAAGCTTTTCAGAACTCAAGATTTAAAATGCAAGAAAGCAGTTTCCATAACATTCTAAGAGACCAAATAGACAAAATGAAATTTTTAATTATGTAAATTCAATAATATGCAAAGAACAGCCCAGGACCAAATAAGAGCAGAGGTATATAAAAGACAAATGTAAGAGGTTTTTTTTTTTTTAATTGTTAATAAAAAATGACTAAAAATACGAAAAAATCATGTTATTTCTATTTGCTAAATAGCTGCTGCATAAAATAAATATAAACTTTGTACAACTCCCACCCTTCAGTGGAATCTGAGCTTTGATTTTACTAGCTCACTCCATTTCATCAGCAAGATTTATAGGAAAGTCAAGATTTTTGTAGAAAATCCATGATACGTAGCTCTAAGATATAAAATTTTTAATAGATTTTAAAAGATCTGGGCTCCAGAGTGAATGAGAAGTCCCTGGTTATAACCAGAACGTAATCATTTTAACTCCTCAATAACATGAAAAGTTTCTTCCGTTAAGTTCTCCTATATGAAAATATGCTCACAAGAAACTCACATGGTTACTCCCCTTTCCCCCCTCCAAATCTTTGCTTAGATGTCCCCTTCTCAGCAAGGCCTCCAGACCACCCTGTCTTCCAACCCACAGCCCTGATCTCATTCTAAGGCACTTTGTATCAATGTACAAATGTTGCCTACATCCACCAGTTTCAGTAACGTGTGGGTTTTGTGAGGGCAGAACCCTGTATGTCTTTTTGCTACAGAATTCCTGGTGCTATAAAGGGACACATACAGGCACATGGGATATTTGCTGAATGAATGTATCATTTCTTCCTTTGTCTCTCCCAACCTGAAATTTAGGAGAAAGAAAACCGGACAATGGACTAAACCATTTAACTAGTTCCCATGACCTGTCCATTCCAAAACTTAATATGGAAAATTGTAAATATATATATATATATATATATATATATATATATATATATATATGAAAGGTAGACCAAATAATAGAATCAACCTGCATGTACTCAACAATTATCAACTCATAACTAATCTTTCTTTCACCTATTTTCTCACTCATCAACTCCCTCTTATTATTTTGAAGACCATACCAGACACCATTAATTTCCTCCCCAAATATTTTTGATGTTTCTCTGAAAGACAAGGACTGTTTTTTTCTATATATCTACAGTAACATCCTCACCTGTAAAACACAACAATAATTCTATAACTTTGTTATTTAGTTTTCCTTCCTGATATGAATAGCATTTGGATGCCAAATGGTGGCATATGGTCACCAGTGACTCTACGCAATTACAGACTGACTATTCGTACCAGTGCTTCTGATTCCAGCCCCAAGTTATTTGCAATCAGCACTCTCTAGAGCACACCACTTATACATAATCAATACATACTCTAATGTGCATCCTTGACCTAACTCAGTAAAGAATACCCCAAGAAGGTTTGCTGGTGCTTCTGCTAGAATGATGCCACTGACCAATTAAGTGACCACAGTGACCAACCAGAGCCTTTGAAGATCACTCTTACTCACGCAGAATGCAATGTTTGTGGATAGAGAAATGAGGCAATAAAAAAGCATGGCTGGGTCCCCAGGATAACAAGAAAATGTGGAATTCTCAAGTGGCATTTCTAAAAACTGGCTTTGAGTTTCAGAACAAAATTAGTAGGGTAAAAGGATTTCTGGGGCTTTCAGAATGCAAGCCAGCAGAGTTCTGAGAAGCTTCAGCCGGGGAGGTGGCATTAAAGGACCTGAGCTTTCGTGAGTTGTAAAGCTCTCTTCAGGCTCTGAATAAATGTTCATCCACCACGGAAACAATCACTGAATTCACCAACTTCCAAGCATGGCTCATTGATATGACTTCAACCACACATCTTACCTGTGCCCTGAAAGCACCTTCGTCAAGGGGTGGTGGAGGAGGGAAGTTTCCGGGGCTGGATGGAAGAGCACCAGGATCATCTAGAGGTGGAGGCGGGGGTGGAAGAAAGTCACCTACAGAAAGGACATGCACACAGGAAGTGAATATACAGGCAATCGCACAGGACTCTTGAAAATCACACATTTGTTCAAGTTTACCGCACGGACATAGAACTTTTTGTCTCTTCGAGCAGTTATCCCCCATGATAGCTCTTTGCAGTTTCATCAGTAGCCTTACTTTTGAGAAGAATGAGGACCAGATCTGATACTTAGAAGGGACATAAAAGCTAGTCGAGAGGGGGCAGGACTGTTTAGCCAGAACAGAGAAGGTGCTTGGGGTTGTGGGGGCAGTGGCTGAGGTGTGTAAGATTTTCACAGTCAAGTAGAGGAGGAAAAAATGTGTACACAAATGATAATACAAGATAAAATATATTGAGATGGAGAACCAAATTCTTCTGGAAGCTAAGATAAAGGAAAGTTTATGTCCAGGTGGAGGGACCAAAGAAGGCTTATACTAGAGCATTACAATGGCCCCTGAACATTATGATATGGACAAGTCTGCTTGGCAGAAAGATAGGGGAACAAAGGCATAGATTAAAACACCCAGGGCCTAAGAATAAGGAGCAAGTTATTAAGATAGCATAAATATGGGAATGTAAAATAAAACTAGTAGGTAATAAAAATAAGTGTGGTGACCAAAAAAAAAAAAAAACAAAAAAACCCAACTTTCAAGTGTGTTGCATGTCTAGTAAATAGTTTGAATTTTATCATGCATGCGGTAGGGATCCAACAAGGACTTCTGAGAAGAAAAAAACCTGCTTGCAATACGATTTACTAAAGACTAATCTAAAAGTCCATGTAGGGCCGATCAGGAGAAACTAAAATAAGTAACATCACTGAAATCTACAGACAATCCAGGCAGGATGTTATAAGGGGTCAGCATATCAAGAAACCTCAAAACCACTGGCCAACCAGAACAGCATACCGATGTTATGTTGTTGTAAGAGAACGCCTAACCTCTAAGATCTGAGGTATATATATATAAACCCAAGAGCTCTGTGGCTTCATGACATGGAATTTTTAAAAAATACTTTGCAAGAAATCCTATTAGGAAAAGGAAATGTCCATTTAAAAAAAAAATTCTTGATTTGCCTTTCCTTCAAAAAACAATATTTAATGATAATAATAATAATAATAATAGATAATATTCATATATGAGTCGCCTTTCTTTGCATTTCAGATGCTCAACACTTACTGGTAAGGCCGCAAGTTCCATCACCCAGTGAGTTGCTTCTGGACAGTACCAAAATATCACAATTTAAGCCTTAATAAAAAAGACTAAATGGCACTGGAAGGAGAGTGGATTCAATATTCTGATACACCTTGGGGATGGTTCACTTGGGCTCTATTTGCCCTACAAATAACAGTCTTAGCGTTGGAAGAGTAGCTGTCCAATCTAGCTCCCCATTATATTCAGACTCTCAAGCAGTCAAACACACTATGTTTAGAATACTGTGCTTTTTGGACTCTCACTATGCACCAGTCACTTCTAAGATTTTCAAAGGCTACCTCTTAGTCCTCCATCCCTCCGTGCTGATGGTTCTCAAATTTTGGAGGTCGTCAGTACCTCAGAAAGGTCTGGTTAAACACAGATGGTTATGTCCCACCCACCGAGCTCCTGATTCTGTAGGTCTAGAGTGGCATCTGAGAGTGTGCATTTCTAATAAATGCCCAGGGGATCCTGATGGTACTGGTCCTGAGACCACACTTTGAGAACCACTGCATTTAAGCCAATTATTACATTATTCCTATTTTAGACTCCATAGGATTAGAAAGGTTAAAAGACTTATGTCATATAGAAACATTTCTGTTTCTCTTAACTTTCTAGATGTGCACATCTGGAGACATGCTTTGTCCATGTGCCTATTGGGGTTATAAGTCTCATAAACCTTCAGTAACTCTACCCAGTAGTTCTGAACACTGGCTACTTACTAGAATCACCAAGAAAGCTTATCTAAAAATGCCCTTGCCCAAATACCAGCTCACATCAATCCAATCAATATCTTGGGGATGAGGGAAAGAGGGTAGAGAGGAGATGTCAGGTGCCACTCCTCCCTTAAAACCCAAATGAGACTAATGTGCAGTCTGAATTGAGAAACTAACTTGGCCTTCCTTTGGCCAAACACTGCACTAAAAAGTAATAATAATTATATATATGTATATATATACATATATAGTAATTATAGATAGATAGATAGATAGATAGATAGATAGATTTAACACCTGTTAAATAACAAGAATTGTCACCAAGTTCTTTTCTGCCTTGAAAAGTCAGAACCTAGGAGAAGAATGTTCACGATGAAATCTTAAGTGATCAGCAAAGGTCTGTGCTGATAGAGACTGATGCTACCAAATTCTAGTGTACGGCCTACTTTTCTGGTTCAAATGTTCTATCCGGACCTATGCCTTCTTCATAACTAATTTAAACTTCTGAGCGCCTTCTTATACTTTAGCACCATTTATTATGTCACAGAGAACTGTTGGAACATTAAACCGGATCAGAACGGAATGGAATCTTGGAGATCATATCATAAAGGTAGATATAGAGGCCCATGAAAGCCACATGAACAGTCCAAGTTCTCAGCAAATTAGTCTTAGAATAAAAACTACAACTGCTTGTGTCTGCAGCCCCTTCCACTTACAGTCAATCCTTGGAAAAAATAGGTTGGCATTCCACAGGTCGACGGATACACAGATTTTGTATAGCACAGTCCTGTAAATGTATTTTCTCTTCCTTATGTTTTCCTTAACATTTTCTCTTCCCTAGCTTACTTCATCATAAGAGTACAGTATATGATATATATAACATACAAAATACATACAACCAAGTGTTCGTTTATTGGCCAAGAATCCACAGGATCAACAGTAGCTATTAGCAGTCAGTGTTTATGGAGAGTTGGAAGACATGTGGATTGTCAACCGCATGGGGTCAGAGCCTTTCATTCCTGTGTCAGTCAAGGGTGAACTGCATATCCTTCCTGACTCTATTTCTACCTCAAAAATTGAATATATAGTGAGGCATAGGTTGTCAACAATCCTGGGAAGGTGAAAAGGAACAAAAAAGGAAGACGGAATGTATTCTTAAAAGAAATAACTTGAAAACAACAAAAATCTAGACTGCTTATTCTAGGTGAAGATTAGATTAAGATTTTTAAAATAGTGATATGTTCATAAAAATTATCAGATAATTTTCAGTTTTTCAAGCTCGACCATCATAGGCCTCTTCCTTCATTATTTGGAGTGGAGCTCACATTTTAAAACGGTGTGGAGGAGCAGGCAAATGCCTAAGAAACAGACACACACATGATAAAGGATAGAAAATGGGTCCTTTGGAGGGAAACAACCAGCTGAGATAGTTGGAATGAAAAGCTCTTAATAATTATCTTAAATCAGACTAAGAACTATTTCAAGAACTCTGATTTATGGTTCACCATTTTAACAGGCAATTAAGCAAAGGAAAATGCTTCTAAGTTGCAGGAAAAATAAGACTGCATAAGAGAGAAAGCAAATTTACATGTTTAAAGAAGATGGTAAAATGGAAAGAACAAAACAACAAAGTGTGTGTGTTTGTCTGTGTGTATCTTTGTGTGTCTTTGTGTCTCTGTTAAAGAAGATGGTAAAATGGAAAGAACAAAACAACAAAGTGTGTGTGTGTGTCTGTGTGTATCTTTGTGTGTCTTTGTGTCTCTGTGTCTGTGTTGGTGGGGGAGGGATCCTTTCCATTTCTGCAGATTTTTACAACAATGAGGGAGCATCTGGCTTAGAAGCTCAGGTGGTGACCCTCCAGAAACACATCCACAAGGAATCAGCTGCAGGACCTTGCGACTAGCAATGCTAAGCTATAGACCTTCACATTAGTGCATGGCCTGTCCTCCTCTCTGCTTGCAAGGGGAAATCCAAATGGAATTTTCAGACCCTGTGAATTACAGGGGCATGGAATAAATCAAGCAAGCAAGCCAAAACAGAACACACCATCAGGCTACTGAACAATGCAGGGATACCTAAAATCTAAGATGGAAATATTTAGTTTCAGAAGAAGAAGGGTAGGGTGCCAGGGTAGCTCAGTCAGTTAAGCGGGTGCCTTTGGCTCAGGTTGTGATCCCAGGCTCCTGAGATCGAGCCCCACATTGGGCTCCCTGCTCAGTGGGGAGCCTGCTGTTCCCTCTGCCTGCTGCTATCCCTGTTTGTGCTTTCCCTCTGTCAAATGGATAAATAAAATCTTAAAAAAAAAAAAAAAAAAACACAAAAGAAAGAGGGTAGTCCCAACCACATGCCTATAGACTGGTGTCCTCCTTACCCTTTTCCTAGCCATCCAAAGCCTATCCACATACAAAATACATGTATCCCTCACTTGCCAGGCAAAGAGTTAACTCAAGCTACACAGCTAGTGAAATACGGAGCTGGAAATGGATCGTCACTCTGCATGGCAGAAAAGCTAGGAAGTATCTCACTTAATTTGCTCTGTATCATCCCAAAGAATTCAGCTAATTTTCAACAGATTTTTACTTTGTGCCAGAGGTAGCACCACGAGGCAGCTAAAGTGCAAAGTGTATGTCTCTGACTCTCAAAGACCACTTTATGCCAACTCGCTGCCACAAAAGAGCCCGCAATGCATAGCATTAACCTGAGAAGCAAGCAAGGCGAATCTGCCAAGACCCCAGGTATGCATCCTTTCTCCGGCCACCCTTTCTAGACTAGGGGTTAGAAGGCAGGAACACAAAGAAGCTTATACAGCTACCCGCTAGGAACTGAGTTATCCGCCACAGTAGGTGCCCTAGTGACATGGCTCGGGCACCCACGAAAGTCATCTATCGCCCTGAATGCAGAGCTCACTTCTCGCTTCATCAAATCAAGGCCAACATCAGAGGGGAAAAAAGAGCAAGAATTTACTAGCAAAGAAGGTGATAAATTACTAGTTATAGGTGATGGTAGTGAAAAACTCAAGGGAATAACTAAACTCAGATCATCAGTGACGTTTGAATTAATTGACTATAGTTAAAAAACAACAACAGAAA